ATATTCTTACAATTTCAGAATGCCTATGACTTTTTGCCAATTGTAATGGTGTTTTGCCATTTTTATCACGAGGTTCTAGTTCAATTTTACTTTTTTCACATAATATTTTAACACAACTAACATTTCTAGAAAGACATGCTAAGTGAAGTGGAGTAGATCCAAAATAATCTGGTTTTTGTAAATCTACTCCACTATACATAAGTAATCTTATTAATTCTGCATGACCTTTGTATGCAGCCCAATGAAGAGCAGTATCTCCATTTATATCTGTTAAATGTCCTAATGCTCCAGATCCTAACAAAAATGCTGCTGTTGCAAATTTTCCAAACATACAAGCAGTCATGAGAGGAGTTAAACCTTTAAAGTCTGCTGCATTAACAGCAACTCCTGCCTAAAAATAATAAAAATAATTTATATCTTCATTATTTATTAATTTATTTATTAAAATTAATAGATAAGTTATGATTTTATATATAAAATCAATTATTAATTAAAATACCTTTAATAATAGTTGAACTATTGCACTATGACCTTTTCGACAAGCCCAATGTATTGGTCTTGGTCCTTGAGTTCCAAGACAAGAAAGATCTACTGGTCCATTTCGTACTATTAAATATCTCATTACCTATAATATAATAATAAATATGAATAAATAAATTTTTGTTTATAAAAAAGAATTTATAAATAGAATTATTTCATAAAAAAAAACTAACTTCAATATTTCCATCTAGAGCAGCCCAATGAGCAGGAGTATATCCCCATTCATCTCTCGCACTTAATACATTTAAACCTTTTTTTTCTACTAATTCATCAACTGCTCCAATTTCACTAAAAAAAATATTCAATCATTTTTGAGTTCGTCCATATATTATTTTATCATATTTTCATAAAAAAAATTATAAAATTTATAAAAATAATATAATATGAATACCCGGATCTAAGAAGTTCGAAAATTTGTTTTGTTTCATCAGAGGGTGTTTGACCTGGAGCTGTTTCATCAGTATAAATATTATCGTCGGGACCATTTCTCGATCGTAATTGTTTAGATGATGCATGATTTTGATGAGTAGTGTTAGAAATTGGAGTATTGGGTAGATGCCCGACCATGTCGGGATCGGGACTTAATTCCCATACGGATCTTGCTGCACCAGGCCCTGTTACAGGGCTCACAGGATATACCTAAAATTAATTATAAGATTAATTAATTAAGATTATTCCATATATTAATATTAATATAATTTATAATATTTATAAGTAGAATTTTTTTGATACCAAAAATTTATAATTCATAATCTAAATTGAAAAATTTTTTTGAATTTAAATTAATACTTAATACTTAATACTAATATTTAATACTTAAATAATAAAATATGTTTAAATTTTGAAATTAAATTCTTTTAATAAAAATTAATTAACAAAATGATTAACTATATATTTTCATTTTAATATTAATACAATAATATATATATTTTTATATAAAAAAGATTTCTATCTTGGCTTACTTTACAAAGCGTTGCGAGTTCCGAATTTGTACGCTCGTGATCGGAAGGTGTTCTAAAAGATATGTTCTGTACAGAAGTTGTCCCGCCTTCCGGAACGGTTAGTCACAAGGAAATATTCGGTCCAACCATGTTTTTTAATTCTCTTTTTATTGTATTTTTTCTTCAATGTGATAAATTTTGAAATAATACTTTCTTAATAGAATAGCGAATCACATTACAAACAGCAATATCTGCATTTCTAAATGAAATTATTCCTATACGATTTGCGCATTCAAATCAATACTATGAGTGAATAAACGCCTGCGTACTGTAAGGCGCGAAATTAATGTCAGATGAGATTTAAAATAGATTTAATATTTATTTTCTCCTTTCTTTTGTTCTCAACAGTTGCAAGATTTTATTTTAAAAATTCATTGTAAAACTGAAAATACAATATTTATATCTTTTACATTAAAAATAACTTGTAATTTTAAAAAAGAGATGATGAAAGTCTATTTAATTGATATCTCATATCTCATTTATAGTATATATATATCATATATATATCAAGAACAAATATGAATAAAAAAAGTAAATAGTGTGTGGAAAACAGAGATAGAATAAAAATTAGGAAATTAATGCCATCTTCAAAATGTTATATGAAACACAAGTTAAATAGTAGGAGAAAGTAGTACAGATAGAATACAAATTGATCATTAGCGTCATCTCTGTGTCAGCACCAAAAACATTTTTTTAAAAGCACTCAAAAAATAGCGCTAATCCACAATTCTTACTCTATTTTACCTTGCTTTAAGGAAATATTTTCAATATAAAAATTAATTTTTATAATATTTTTTGACATTAATAAACATTAATAAATATTGGATAATAAATATAAGTAATTAAATGATACAAATTTTGTTTTTTAAGATTAAAAGAAAGAAAATAATTGTTGCTTTTAATTTAAATATTGTTAGTTATAACTAGATGGCGTGACATAAATTGTTTTTGATACACAAAGTATCGTGTGATATACATCTTGAAAGTTTGTTCTCTAATTTTGTTGTAATGATTAAAATATTAAAATATTGTTAAAATATTGTTAAGTTTTACATAATAATTTAATATGGCTCCTACTATTCAAACTAATGGTAATACAGCTGAACGAGATAAACGAACAGCTAGACCAGCAGAAAAAAGGTAAAAATTAATTATAACCTGTAGTTTTTATTGTAATAATATTTTACTATTTTTATTTCAGATCTGAATTAATATGTAGAGTTAAATACTGCAATACATTACCTGATATACCATTTGATCCTAAGTTTATTACATATCCTTTTGAATCTACTCGGTAAGATTACATGTTTAAATATTAATAATATTTTGCATAAAATATATATTTGAATAATATTCATAGGTTTATTCAATATAATCCAACTTCACTTGAACGTAATTATAAATATGAAGTATTGACAGAACATGATTTAGGTGTAGAAATTGATCTTATAAACAAAGATACATATGCAGGGGATGTAAATTCTCAATTAGATCCTGCTGATGAAAAACTTCTAGAAGAAGATGTTCTTACTCCACAAGATTCAAAAAGATCTAGACATCATGCCAGAAGTGTATCTTGGCTCAGACGTACTGAATATATTTCTACAGAACAAACTAGATTTCAACCACAAACAGTGGATAAAGTTGAAGCTAAAGTTGGTTATAGTATTAAGAAAAATTTAAAAGTAAGTTTTTTTTAAATATTTTATAATTTTTTTATTTTATATTAAAATTTTTATTGCATATACATAAAATTTTATTTTATGATTATATAGGAAGAAACATTATATATGGATCGTGAAAGTCAAATAAAAGCTATAGAAAAAACATTTGAAGATAATAAAAAGCCAATTGAAAGGCATTATAGTAAACCAAATGTAGTACCTGTAGAAATTTTACCAGTATTTCCAGATTTTAAGGTATTTTAAATATTTTTATATGATATAAATTTATTAATTTTATACTTTTATTTATATTTTTTATTATCTTTTTTCAGCTTTGGAAATATCCTTGTGCTCAAGTTATATTTGATTCAGATCCAGCTCCAACTGGACGTTCTGTACCAGCTCAAATTGAAGAAATGTCACAAGCTATGATCCGGTAAATTTATATCTATTAGATTTAATTTATAATTTTTTAATTATAATATATAATATATTATAACAATTGTATTATTTTAGTGGTGTTATGGATGAAAGCGGAGAACAATTTGTAGCATATTTCTTACCTTTGGAAGAAACATTAGAAAAACGTAGGAGAGATTTTACAGCAGGTATTGATTATGCAGATGATGAAGAATATGAATATAAAATGGCAAGAGAATATAATTGGAATGTTAAGAGTAAAGCTTCAAAAGGATATGAAGAAAATTATTTTCTTGTCATAAGACAAGATGGAGTATGTTTTATATTCAATTAATATAATATAATATAATATACTAATATGTAACATAAAATATAGATAGATATTTTTATTGATGTTCATATTACAGGTATATTATAATGAATTGGAAACGCGAGTACGACTTAGTAAACGTCGACAAAAAGTTGGACAGCAACCAAATAACACGAGGTTAATAGTAAGACATCGACCACTTAATGCTAATGAATTTAAAATGCAAAGATATAGAGAAAAACAACTAGAACCACCAGGAGAAGAAGATGAAGATGAAGAAGAAGAGGAAGAAGAAGAAGAAGAAGAACCTCAACAAGAAACTGAGAAACCAGAAGAGGAAAGAGGTCAGCAATATTATATATAAAATTCTAATTATACATATTTTACATATTTTTAAAATATAATTTTATAATTTATTTTTTTTTAGAAGTATCTGAAAATGAGGCTGAATCCAGAGCATCGTCAAGAGCATCTTCTCACGCATCTAGTAGAAAATCTCGTTCTCGTTCAAAATCTGGTTCTAGATCAAAATCTCGTTCTGTATCTCGATCAAAATCGAGATCTGCTTCTCGTTCGCGTTCTGAATCTCAGTCACCTTCTAGATCGCATAGCAAATCAAGATCAAGATCTGGTACTCCTCAGTCCAGAAATTCTTCCAAATCAAGGTCACGATCAAAATCAGCTTCAAGATCTCATTCTGGATCTCCAGTTAAATCTCGATCTGGATCTCCATCAAGTTCGAAATCTAGATCCAAGTCAAGATCTCCTTCACGATCAAGATCAGCCAGTGGCAGTGGTAGTGAATCTGGTAGTGGCAGTGCTAGTGAATCTGGCAGTGGCAGTGGAGAAAGTGGTTCTGAGAGTGAATAAATAATAAAAAAGTGAAAACTTTCGACCATTATATATATGTACTGATTGTCACAGATGTAAAGTACAATACAATGAAAATGTTTTTAATAATAAAAATATTGGATAAAGAAGTCTATATTCATTCAGTCATTATATTTAGTACAAAAATATGTCGATAGAGTGCAGTTCACGTTTCCTTGTACATCATTTGCAAGTCTCATTTAGTAGTATTGCATCATCAATATGACGTATCCTAACTGTGTTTTACTGTGGCACACATGGTAGATTATTAGCAATAAAAGTTCTAATTTTTAAGTTTTTATGGTGATATGAAGTTAAGAATTTAAAATTCTGCATAAGATATAAAAGTAAGTCAAAATTAATATATACGAAATATGACATTTTTTGTCATATGAAAAGATTTTAAAGTATTCTAAATCTTTAAAATTTATTATATGTTCTAAAAACATTGGCTTATATGACGCATTGTTTAATTTGCATACATGCATATGTATATATATATTATATATACATAAATATAGTATATACAATTCGTTAGTTTACTACATAAAATTCAAGAGAAAGTAAATGAGTAACTTGAATGAGTAATAGTAATATTTTATTTATAATATGTTATATGACAATTGGAAAAAATTAGAATTAAACTAAATATATTTTTAATATTAACAAACGATTAAAATAGAAATAGAACTTTGGATAACATTAGAAATTTTAAATAAATTTTATATAATCGTAAAATAAAATTTTTTTTTAAAGTATTATTTAATTTTTAAAAAATTAATAATAAAATAAGAAATAGAGAAAAGAGAATTCTAAATTAATATAATAATGTTCTAAATTTCCGAATTTGTTTATTTGTTTCACGATAAAAATCATACTAAAATATTTTATTTTTATTATTTAAATAATTAACAAAGTGATTTTAATTTTAATATATTTATAAATTATATATTTATATTATATATTATATATTATAATATATTTATAATTATAAATTTTTAATATATTTATTAAATTAACTTATTAAACAAAAATATAAATAAAAGAGTCATAGATTTTTTTAGAATTAGCATAGCAGTATTTCATTTTATTTTATATTTAAATGTTTTTATCAAAGATTCATAATTCTAACATTGAATATATTTTTTTACAGATAATTTTAAATTTTTACAGATGGCGCCAAAAAACAAAGAAAATACATCTGGAAATAAAAAGAAAAGACAAATTTCTGAAGAAGAAGATGATGAAGATTATCGAAGACGTAGAGATAGAAATAATCAAGTAACTTACTACGTAATTAATTATTTCATTAGTAATATATCATATATACTTATTCCATACTATAATATTTTTACAGGCAGTGAAACGTTCTAGAGTTAAAAGTAAATTACGTACCCAACAAACATTGGAACGTGTAAATCAATTAAAAACAGAGAATGAATTACTTGAAGAAAAAATTAAAATGCTTACAAAAGAATTAGGATTTTTGAAAGATCTTTTTCTTGCACATGCAGGTGTGTTTATATTATAATCATTTGTTTATAATATTTTTTTATATCTTTTAATATTTAAACTTACTTATAATTTTGTGCTTATATTATAGGTTCAAGTCAACATTCTGTAAATTTTCAAGATATAGATTTGAATGCTCTTTTGGCTGAAGATACAAAATCTATGGAACAAATGAAAGAAGTATCTAAACCATAAATCATAATAAATTCCACGTGAAATAAGTAACGTGGTATTGATCAGATCTAAGATGAAGATGTACTTTCGTTCGTCTATTTTTAAAAAAGGTCAGACATCTTGGAAAGATGTTTGCTTATAAATGCAATTTTTAATGAATTTAAGATGCATGATATTAGTGTATACAATTCATTGCATGTGAAATTCATTGTTGTTGAAATCTCAAGTACTGATAAAAAAAAAGTACAAAATTTAAACATTAAAAGATTAATATTGCATGTAGAGATTGTTTTCAATGAAGAAAATGACAATATTATACGTATAAAAACGTAAAATATTTACAAAAGAGAATACATTACAAACAATATATATGCATATAACAATATTTTTACACATATATGTGTTGTGTATATATATATATATATAAGATGAAGATGTACTTTCGTTCGTCTATTTTTAAAAAAGGTCAGACATCTTGGAAAGATGTTTGCTTATAAATGCAATTTTTAATGAATTTAAGATGCATGATATTAGTGTATACAATTCATTGCATGTGAAATTCATTGTTGTTGAAATCTCAAGTACTGATAAAAAAAAAGTACAAAATTTAAACATTAAAAGATTAATATTGCATGTAGAGATTGTTTTCAATGAAGAAAATGACAATATTATACGTATAAAAACGTAAAATATTTACAAAAGAGAATACATTACAAACAATATATATGCATATAACAATATTTTTACTACATATATGTGTTGTGTATATATATATATATATATATATATATATATATATATATATATACATATATATACATATACACAATGAAAAAAAATTTAACAATTGACGGAAAAAAGATTTTAATATCGAATTTACGTATATCGTAAAATTTTATTTTTACAGTAATATAAATAAAATACTGTAAATTATAATTACTTGTAATAACATTACCTTAATCATTCCATGATTAAATTGTCAATATTTATCGTCAAATATTTTATGGAAGTGAAATATTTCAAAGAAAGTTTTATAAATTATAATATAATAAAACATTATTTTAAAATAATAAAATAACTATAATATTATAAATAATGTTTATTGTTTGTGAATTGTCAACAGTATTTTTTAATTAAATAAAATAAAATACTTTCAAATTGTATTAATATTTATTCAATAAATAAATTTAAAGTTTTTTAAAAATAGGGTATTTTTTATGGAAATGCATATGTATTTCCCCTAGAAAAAACTTGTCAACATTCAGTTACTAGATTTAATATTGACTTCTGTGACTTGAATTATTTTTCTGAAAATAGTATAAGTTTTAATGTCTAAAATAAACAATAGTTCAGTTTAAACAAAAAATTGAATATGGGGAAAACAACGAAAGTAATTGTTTGTGGAATGAAAGGCGTAGGAAAAACAGCATTGTTAGAACAGCTTATATACGGAAATGTCAATGTCAAAACGGTAAGAATTTAGGTTATGTCTACAGTCAACCGTGAAACAACATATTTCTATATTATTATTAATTTTTAATTTTAAATTCACATTTTAATTATCAATGAAATTATTCATTATATAAAAATTATATTTTATAATTTAATAGGAAATTCATCCTACGATCGAGGATATTTATGTTGCAAATATAGAAACGGATCGCGGTTCGAAGGAAAAAGTACGATTTTATGATACCGCTGGATTGGAATCTCTTCAGAATAATTCAAATAATCAGCAATTACCGCGTCATTATCTTGGTTTTGCCGACGGATATATTTTGGTATATGATACTGCAAAACCTGAATCATTAGATGTGCTTTTCCCTTTGAAGAAAGATATTGATAGAAATAAAGATAAAAAAGAAATAACCGTAATTGTTGTTGGAAACCGAACTAAAGCTGAAGAAGAATCTCATAGTTTGGAGAATACAGCAAGTAAAGCTGCAAATTGGTGTACTAGAGAGAAATTGAAACATTATGAAGTAAATGTTATGGATAGGACTAGTTTGTTTGAGGCATTTGTTAATTTATCTTCTAGATTAAATCCTCCTACAAATAAGAGTACATTTCCACAGTTAAGTATGGGTAGAAAAAATATCAAAGTTGAAGGACCTTAAATACGTTTATTTATCTATTAATCTTAATTAATCATATTTAATTATCTATATCAATGTTATATTTTTAATCATTGATATTGATATTGATTGATTTGATATGCTCAAATTATATCTATATAAAATAAGTATATGTTCACGTACTTAAAGCATTAATTTATTCAGGTTTGTAGTAACGTTTATAAAAACTTTTTTTAATCATTTAATTATTGTTTGATCTTATGTACAATAAATATTATAATTTATTCTTGTTTGTACTTAAAATGTGTATTGAACGATTATATTATGATCGAATGATCGATTAATTTCAATTATTTATTTTGTTTTGTACTTATTTGTTATAAAAAGTTTTTATTTTTAATACACATATAAATTATTTTTCATTGATCGATTTACCATTCAATCGGTTTTGTCAATTTTCGTAAACAAATAGTCGTTCCGAATACATAATCCCATAGTTTACTGCTGATACCAAATCCTAAAGAATATAATTTTACATGTAAATTTGTCTAATATTTCGAAAACAAAAATTAATTCAATATTACCCAATTCATGGTGTGAGAAATGATGATAATTATGAATCCTTTTCAATAAATAAAAATATGTTCCAGCTTTTGGCGCACCGTGATGTATATAATAATGTATTAAATCATAACTCATGTAACCTATAAAATAATTTTTTTTTTTAAATTTCATATATTATCAATATTTATAAAAAATCGAATTTAATAAATATTTTGACAACGATACCTGTTGCTGTACCAGCGATAATAAAATAAAAAGTTTGAGGAAATAGTATCTTATAAATATGAAATAATAATATTGCTATTAGCAAAGCTGGTACAGGAGGAAATACTAATCTTCTATTATCGAATGGTGTCTATGAAATAAAAAATGAAATTATTATAATGATTTGGATATATCAGCTTTTTTCTTTTTTTTTTTTTTTGCAACTAAATAAATTAGTAATTTTTAATGAATTTTTACCTTATGGTGAATTCCATGGAGTAAAAAATGGAAAGTAATAAGTAATTTTGAAGAATTAGGTGGTTTAAAGTGAAAAACTTTACGATGAACCACGTATTCGAATAGAGTCCATATCAATATACCAAATATATAAGAAGTTAAAATTTCAAATAAGGTAGTTAGTTCTGAAAGTTCAATAAAATATATCGATAAATAGTTATTAAAAATAATAATATTGTATAATAGATTATTAATTGTTATTATATATAATTATAATTGTAATAAAAATATTTATAATAGATATTTAATAATTAATAATTTCTCTTTATAGATCGACAATGAAATATTTGAATATTTTTTTCCATAATAATATTACGTCAATAATAAAATAAGAAAAGAAATAAAAATTAAATAATAGAGATAAAAAATTATTACCAGCATCGTTGAAATTAATTTGTATCCATCCTGAATAAAAGAAATAGATGCATATCGGTATCCATACAAGCGGAATTATGTACCAAGGAGTGATCGTTAAAATCTCTAATAAGTTTGACTTGAAAAGTCTAATATTTCGATTCACCGGTAAATTAACCCATTCCCAATAATTTTCACCTAACGAGCTTACTTGTCCAAGTATAGATTCATCCCAATCAATCAGATTCTACAAACATAACAATCATCAATGTTATAAAATCTCGTCGAATCATGTTTGCCACGAATATTAATTTTTAAATCATAAAATAGATAAAATAATTTAAAAACAATAACAGGTATCTTAATAAATAATCCCTTATATATACTCACTTCATATTTCTGATATTTTTCTTCATTCTTCAATATATAATCTTCCAACAGGTGAAACGCCGCTTGCGAATGAGGATTTTCTTTGAAGGCTTTATCTAAGCTTCGATTTTTGAAACAACTTAATATTTTTTTCCCTCCAGGATGATAAGAAAGAAAATCGTGTATATCGTAAGAATGATTTTGATAGGTAACTATAAAATTATTGTCATGTTTATCGTCGATCTGTTCTACGATACGTTTGCATAAATCGTAACCAGAATTTGCGACCTTCGCCATTAAGCCGGTTGTTATTTGTATTCACTTAGATAATTTATTGTTTCAGTAAAAAGATTACGCGATTTAAGATATTGTTGGTAAGACGGATGAACGAGTAATGAGCACGTAAAGCATCTACTTTTAATGACTAACTATTTTATCATTCACACTTCAAACTTTATAAAATTACGCGAACACAGTTATCGTAGAGACATATTATCTTTTGATTCCTACCTATGTGTTTCCTATCTTGTTCCTGTCTATAGAATGACGTCATCGCTTAACATTTTGTTGTACTTCAAACTCTCAGTTTCTTTTTTATTCTCTTTGCTTTGTATTATTTGAAATTGCTAGTAATTATCATTATTTTAATACAATATAGTTAAATCAATGGGTGTTATTCAAGTAACAATAACTCGCAATATCTATATTTGATTATTATCTATGTAATTACATTTGTTTTTTTTTATTCGATAGCTAAATTTATCGTGCATGACATAGTGGTGACATTGAAAAATATTGATAAAGGAGAATGGAACGTGCGAGGAAGGAAGTCAATAAATGCTCCTCTATATCGCATAGAGTCCAGTATACTCGGCAATAAATAAGCTTTTATTTAAACGTTCTGGATATTTGTGTATACAATATACCCTATACACGATCTATATTTAAATGTCTACGAACGCAGCAGCGATCATGCTTCGGTATGTTGTCTGGAAAAAAACAGAGGAACGGAAAGAAAGGAGGAGAAATGGAACGGGGTATACCCTTGCATAGGGTAAATCCGAGCATTCGCGCTGCAAAAAATATAGCATTTCGAGCATCGCGATGGCGGCGCAACGCGATGAACAGTGTATCGGTATTCTCTTTTCTTTTCATTTTCTTAGCATTACTATCGATGTTCTCGAGCCAGGTACTGACCTTGTCAAGCGAATTTATTCGTCGCTTGACGGGACGAGGGCCGCTTTTATCTTCGCGGAATATTTGTTCTTCTATCATTATCGATCACACCTAATAACGAGAGTAAACGAGAAACTCGATACAGACACGCGAAATGACGCGTATCCATCTACTTTTTCTCCACTTTTTCTCTCGTTCTCAATTTACCTAAAGAACGATCGCGTGACCGATATCGATTTTTCGATTCAATTTTCAGAAACGGGCTAACTAAATTTTGAAGATTTGAATCGTCGCGAATAAATTTCCTTTTTGTCGGTTCTTCCTTTTTTCTTCTCTCTTTCTCTCTATATCTCTCTCTCTTTTTAAGTACGAATCTTGAAAAATTCTTCGACCCGGTCTCGACATTCCTGCCTCGGACATCTGACGGAATTTCGCGGTTCTACCTCTGTTTTAAGTAATCGAATTTACTAACAATTCGGAACAGTTTTATTATACGAAATAATCAATAGAAGAGATACCGCCTATACACTATTTCCTACTCGTACGGTTTCTATTTAGGCGAGTAGGCATATAATTTCTAGTTACGTTTTGACATTTGCAAATCTTTTCTTTTGACTTTTAACCTTCTCTCTTCTCTCTCTCTCTTCCTCTCACTCTTCTCTCTCTCTCCCTCACTCTCTCTCTCTCTTTCACCCCTGAGGTTTGGAAGCAGTAGGAACGTAGGCACCGTCTAGAAATCGATCGAAATTTTCAAAGACGAACGATCGATCGTACGTTTCATTGGAAATAATACGTACGTCTCGAGCGTTTCTCTTTTTTCTTTTGTAAAATCGGACGAGCCTCCGTCAGAACATTCGACTTGTTTCGTGTTAACCACCATTTCGTCGTTGAAAATGTAAAACTAGAGAATCGAGAACGAAACAACCGTTTTTTTTTTTTTTTTTTTTTTTTTTTTTTTTTTTTTTTATCGAATTCGAATATAGAAGCAGGTAGCACTCTCCCTATAAATACGCGAGGGAAGATGACTAATTATTTTTACGCGATTCCATCTCTCTCTCTCTCTCTCTGCGAAGGAATCCTAATTGTGTAACAATTGCTGGTGTAAAGAGGGTGTTCGCGCATAATTCTTGTTTTTTCTTTTTTTTTTTTTTTTTTTTTTTCTCCTTTCGTTACTCGCTATGCGATGCCGATTATAATCAAATGATTAAATAAAATAGCCGAAAATAAATACCGATCGTCGCACGATAACGTTCAGTCAGTTAAAATTAATTTAGATCTCGATAAAATCGATCGAACGATCGAAGTGAAGTAAGCGGAGGCGCGACGAAGCGATTTCGAATGCGATTAGAATCGACCGAGTATTTTTCTAAGTTTTCTCCGCTTTTTCTCCCTCTTTTTTATTTGCTTCGTACACGCTAATCTCGTGTCACATTCGTGTACACGGATTCGACGGAAGTTATTTAGTATTGCTCTCGAAAAGCACCAATTCTCTCTTTCTCTTTCTCTCTCGCTCTCGCTCGCTCTCTCTCTCTCTCTCATTCGTCGATTCGTACCTGCAATTATTTCGTATCGTCTTACGCGTTTCCTGAGAATCGAAATTCGAAAGGGGCGAGAATGTTCGATCAACCCTCTTTCCATGTTCTGTCGTCACGTAAGGTGAAACGATACGACAAAAGTCGACGAACCTGACAACTTTTAAAAGTCCATCACTTCCATTTTGAACGGTTTACCCTGAAGTTTGTTGGGGACGATCTTCGTTATCGGCGGGGCACTGTTGTTGTCGTCATCGCTGTTCACGTCTTCGTCCTCCTCGGGAAAATCTTCGAGGCGGTCGTGGTACTCGTCCAACTGAAAATCGATCGTCATTTTCGTTAACTATATAGACAGCCGTTCACCCGTGAACGAAATCGTGAACGAACAATCAGAGCTAAGGCTATGCGTGATCATTTGTGGTAGATCAAATCAGCACGTGTTTCTTTATCGGTGAAAATGCGGTGCTCGTGAGATATCAAGCGAGAAAGCTTTTTTTGCCCGGTGTGAATGTCCAGATTCCTTTTTTTTTCTCTTTTTCTCTTTTTTCTTCACGGATAACATGCCAAATTTGGAAAATTGTCGGTAAAATCGATAAAATTCGGTAAGAATCGTGGAAAAGGTTGGCAACACTCTCCACACTTTCCCTTCGTTTCCCTCCTCGTGCTCGAACATGGATCATCGAAGATTTTTCGCGATGGTGCAAAGCGCGTAGGATAATATCAAGCTAAGAGCATTCCATAAACGATATAATATACTACGGACTCACGTGTAAGGTAGCTATAGAAGAAGCGATTAATCGACGTTACCGCACACAGAACGGACGCTTTCCTATAACTGCAGGTACGTCCAACGTAAATCTTAAATGCTCTCATTCTTAAGGCTTAATCGACGCACTTTGAGTAAATGTAATTCTTCTTCCCGATTCCCACCTGAGACTTGCTCTAATCACGGGTAATCGTGACATGTTTCTCTCTCTCTCTCTCTCTCTCTCGGTGCGCCAATTAAGTTGTCCTTCTATTACGATGACTACGTCTCTACGTTGTCTAAACAAGCATATATGAACGTGCCTCGCGTGTTTTATCCGTAATAAATTGGCTTAAAATTGATGATAAGAAACGATACGACGAATGAGACAAATCCTGTTTGAATTTGCGAAGGTAAGATGATTTTTCTGACTCGAGATGATTTTATTTACCGAGCGTAATATGTGTAATTCGTGATGTACATTACAGAATTTAGAAGTTTCCCTCTCTATTGTTAAATTACAGAAACGTAAAAGAAACATAAAAGAAGCACATTGATGCAAATGCGCGTGTACAAGTTGAGTGGATGGATGGAACGAAGGCGAAGAACGAAGAGGATCGAAAGTTGTGAGTGAAAGTTTTCTTTTTTGTTTTTTTTTTTTTCTTTTTATCTCTACTCACATCGACATCTCCCATCATTTCTTTGGTAGAAACGGTGGTATCGATACGTCGTATGCTGCCTTGGTGAATGTCAACGTCCAACTTGACGCATTGGAACCGCCTCAAAAGGAATACAATCGGTATTGGCGCGATGCCCGCAAAAATGATGACGACCGCTATAGCCAACACCCAGCCGGGATACGCGGTGGGTACAGCTATGCCCTGAAAACAAAGGAAGGAAAAAAAAANAAAAAAAAAAAAAGAAAGAAATGTCGAGGTCGTGACGTAGGTATTTTGGCAACGAGATATATGGGTCACGAGATAATACTTTCCACTACTCACCCGTGACGCATCCCACGCGGAATATTGAGGCTTCTTCACAACCATGGAGATTATACTGGAGACAAGGATGCAGACCATGATTATAGGGGCGAGAAATCGCCAGGTGAATTGCCAATACGCCCCTGGTCTGTATCCTGTCATCTCTTCGATATCTTTCGTGAATCTGAGAAAGAAAAGGATTTTCTCAATTCGATCTTGAATCGTTTATTTGAACGAAAGAGAGATAAATATTTCGATCGTACTTTTCGTGGCCGTAAACAAAGATGACGGATATCATTTCCATGAGCGCGACCATCACGAGACCGATGGTACCTGCGAAACTGTCGAACATCTTTAGCCAATATTCTCCGGCTCCGGTACAGAATATTAAACCAACAAAGAAGCACACCGTGCAAACTACCCCTAAGAAAAAAAGGATCGTTTAACACCATTGAAAATGTTTTTAACGTTTTATAACCCCCCCCTTTTTTTTATATATACATATAGCTTTCTTTCAGCAAAAAAAAAAAGGCACCCGATGGATCGTCCTACCTGTCATGTATTGCTTTTTTATTCTCTTGAACAGATCTATGTCGAAGATGACGCACAGCATGCCCTCTAGTATACCGATTTGGGAACCGAGACCGAGGGCTAAAAGCATCAGAAAGAAAATACAGGACCAGAAAGGAGCGCCTGGTAGCTCGACTATCGCCTGTGTGAACACTATGAAAGCTAATCCCGTTCCTTCGGCAGCCTGAAATCGATTTTCTTGTTTAAAAATAATTATATAGAGAATTAGAAGGAAGATATTTATCGTATAATTACGTTGTCCAATTGTTCGCTCAGGCTACACGTTTCAAGGGTGAAATTCATGTTCGTTGCAGTGATATTATTTACAATACTCTCGTATTCCTTCATGGTGGTATTCTGATAGGCAAATCCGTGTTGAACGAGTAAGTCTTTGTTACTGGAACAGAAGGGAAATCGAAGTTGGAACGATGATTAACACTTTTGGATATTTTTTTTTCTATTATTATATCCATCAATCTGATTTGAAAATGTCGAGGTCGTGACGTAGGTATTTGGCAACGAGATATATGGGTCACGAGATAATACTTTCCACTACTCACCCGTGACGCATCCCACGCGGAATATTGAGGCTTCTTCACAACCATGGAGATTATACTGGAGACAAGGATGCAGACCATGATTATAGGGGCGAGAAATCGCCAGGTGAATTGCCAATACGCCCCTGGTCTGTATCCTGTCATCTCTTCGATATCTTTCGTGAATCTGAGAAAGAAAAGGATTTTCTCAATTCGATCTTGAATCGTTTATTTGAACGAAAGAGAGATAAATATTTCGATCGTACTTTTCGTGGCCGTAAACAAAGATGACGGATATCATTTCCATGAGCGCGACCATCACGAGACCGATGGTACCTGCGAAACTGTCGAACATCTTTAGCCAATATTCTCCGGCTCCGGTACAGAATATTAAACCAACAAAGAAGCACACCGTGCAAACTACCCCTAAGAAAAAAAGGATCGTTTAACACCATTGAAAATGTTTTTAACGTTTTATAACCCCCCCCTTTTTTTTATATATACATATAGCTTCTTTCAGCAAAAAAAAAAAGGCACCCGATGGATCGTCCTACCTGTCATGTATTGCTTTTTTATTCTCTTGAACAGATCTATGTCGAAGATGACGCACAGCATGCCCTCTAGTATACCGATTTGGGAACCGAGACCGAGGGCTAAAAGCATCAGAAAGAAAATACAGGACCAGAAAGGAGCGCCTGGTAGCTCGACTATCGCCTGTGTGAACACTATGAAAGCTAATCCCGTTCCTTCGGCAGCCTGAAATCGATTTTCTTGTTTAAAAATAATTATATAGAGAATTAGAAGGAAGATATTTATCGTATAATTACGTTGTCCAATTGTTCGCTCAGGCTACACGTTTCAAGGGTGAAATTCATGTTCGTTGCAGTGATATTATTTACAATACTCTCGTATTCCTTCATGGTGGTATTCTGATAGGCAAATCCGTGTTGAACGAGTAAGTCTTTGTTACTGGAACAGAAGGGAAATCGAAGTTGGAACGATGATTAACACTTTTGGATATTTTTTTTTCTATTATTATATCCATCAATCTGATTTGAAAAACAATTTACCCTGCGAGGCACTTATCGACATTTGTCATCGCCTTAAAGCCTAAAATGGCGAATATCACGACACTCGCGTAAATTGCGGTGAAGGCGTTGCAACAGCTAACCAGAATCACGTCCCGGACGCAGTGGTTGTCTGGAGTGTTGTAAGATCCGAACGCGATCAGGGAGCCGAACGCTAGTCCGAAACTATAAAAAACTTGCGTCGCTGCGTCGAGCCACACCGTCGGCTCTAACAGCTTCTCGATCTGTCGATAAAAAAGGGAACATTTTTTTTTTTACAATAAAGCTCAAAAAATCTCGTGGGAAAAGAAAAAGGAATAAGCGAACCTTACCTTTGGCGTGTACATGTGGGCCAATCCAGCGCTGGCACCTTTTAACGTTATTCCACGAATAAAAAAGATAGTAAGCACCAAATACGGGAACATGGATGTAAAATATACCACCTTTAAATTAAGCAGAAACAAAAAAAACGTGTTGGTATACAATATTAATATTATTCGACTTTGCTCGAACGAGGAAGCACAGAGAAGATGCAGACCCCCCCCCCCTCCTCCCCCGCGAGGAAAAGAACAAAACGGACGAGAAGGATTTGAATGTTTGTCATTCCTCTTACCTTCCCCGACGATTGTATTCCCTTCATCACGATAAAGAAGACGACGATCCAACTCAACAGTAGACAAAGGACGATCCACCATTTCAGACCGCTCGATCCTTCCTCGATTGAGGGTGCCGCGTCCAGAGTGGTTCTGTACCAAAAATAGGCAGTTTCCGAACTCTTCACGCATTCCTCGACCGGCTTCCCATCAACCTCCGGACATTTCGCCCATGGTAACGGTTCCTAACGATTCGTATGATCGTTCAATGTCAAATTTCGTATCGCGGATTTCCATTATAAGCGGAAAATACACGGATGCAAGCGTCTAATGATATTCGCAATTAAAAAAAAAAAAAAGAAAAAATCACATGACTCCGTTTTCTCTACTAGCTTTTCAAGCCAGACTCGCGGGATGAAAATTAAAATCGACAGGTACTTACGCCAGCTTTAATCGTGACGGCCTAATCGTGTGCGGCGTGAAACATAAATCACATTCGTTAGTCGAACGATCTATGAAACTACTTCTATTCCCGCCAGTTATACCAGTTGCCGTTCGTATTCCGCCGATCAATCAACCTCGTTTTCGATCGATGTCGGAACGACAACGTGTATCTCTCTATCTACGCGTTCGTTACGTATCGATCGAATCGATCGGTGGTCAGGGGGGACCGAAAGGAACTCACCTCCAGCGAATTGAAAAGATAATAGAAGCACCAGGTAATGATGACGTTGTAATAAAGTGCTACGAAGAAGGTGACGATGCACGATGCTATCCCTATACCGCCTAACCATGGATGTATCGTGTTCCATACACCAAGGGCGCCCTGTCGCATGCGTTGACCGAGACCCAGCTCGATTAAAAAGAGGGGTACACCCTCTAGGATTAGCATCACGAAAAAGGGGATGAGAAAGGCACCTGAAAACCATTTTTGGCACATAACACATTTTTACCCCTGCCTATTTCATTCTTGTTCTTTCTTTCCTTTTCTTTTTTTTTTTTCTCCTATCTTTTCGCTTCCCAACAAACGGGATCCGTATTTCCTCCCTATTATTCTTTCTCCACTACTGTAAAATAATATCGCTCGTTAGCCCCCTTCCCCGTCACCTCTCTTGTTCCCTCTCACCCCTTATTACGAAATGAATGCCTGTAACCGGTCTCTTTTAATCTTTTCCCATTTGGCAACGGCTCGCCGGCGTGTCCCTGCTCACAGAATATTCTCCGTTCTCCCCCCCTTTTTTTTTTTCACGGTAGTCTAGTTTGAGACGGCCGCAGCCGGAGTGTCTGGTTCGGTATTGATCGAGTGACGCGTACATACGTACGTAGCGGTACATACCTAGATTATTACCTTGCACCTTCGATTTCGTTTCGAGCATTCCTTCTTCTCGTTCCTTTCCTCCTCCCCCCTTTTCTTTTTCCCCTCCCCTCCTCCTTTTCCTCTTTTCCTTTCTTTTTTCGCCCTTTCATTTTTTTCGAGTTCGTCGACTCGAAAGTATCGTGTACGCCAGTCAGCGTGGACGCGTGAAAAATTATTGATCAATCGGGTATCATGTTCGGTCGCGATATCGAAGCGATTACTCACGTTCTTCTGGTTTCGAGTACGAGTTCCGAGACCCCGATAAATCGGCCGGTTGAAATTCCTGTTTCTATTTACGCGCGGGGCAGCCGCGTGTTTATTTCATCGAACGTCACGTTAAAAAATTCAAAATTGACGAATATATTATTATACACGATTCCTAAACGCTATCTCTTGTCTCTTTACTTGATATATATATATATATATATCTCGAAAATAAATTTTAAATTCCGTGCATTCTTTGCGAACGAAAGTATCTCATCTCTTTTCGAGAGATTGATGCATTATTATTATCTCCCTGTTATTATTATACGTGTGCAATTTATTTTTTCCCCGGACAAGGACACGGCAAGGTCGAATCGTTTCAAAAAATTTCCCATTCCGACCTTCGAGCACGCTCGCCTTTCGACATTTCTAATCGGGAGGAGGGCAGAGGAATATTAACCCGATTGATAAAACCCGGATTGCGGATACGAAATTGTTACGTATCCGGCGATAGAACGGTTAAAAAATCGATCGACGCGCGTCGGACCGAGAACAGCCGGCCTCGACATCGGTCGTCGCGAAAAGGAAATTTCCATTGAGAATCGTCGGCTAGGGTCCTTGCTCGTTTTCGCCCTCCCTTCCCCTACCCCCTCTCCTCTTCCCTCCTCTCCTCCCTCCCCCTCTCGGTATATACAAATCGTTAAAAGAAACGCGACCCGAGCGGCCAAGAAAACTCGGCCGCTCTTCTGCGCATAGAGGCATATCCATATAGAGATATCTCTCTTTGCCTTTTGTGTGTGTGTCTGTATATGCGTGTGTGTGTGTGTGTTGGCACGATGGAAACTTCCACCCGGGACGAAATTCGCCCGTTTCCAATGTTCTACGTAAACTACGGTCTCCTACGTAGGTGACGTAACCGCCTACCGGCGTGATTTTCATTCGTGGCTCACCCTCGTTCGCGCATCCACCCACGCGCCTATCTCTATCCAGCGATATAACGCGTATTTCCGTTTCGTTTTCGCATCGGAATGTAATCGAGTTACCACGAGTCTGGCGGGGTGTGTGTATAGGTCGTGGATAGAGAAAGATCATGGATGGGAGGGAGGGGAGTTTCAAGGGCGCGTTTTATAGGATTTTATTCGGGTTTCCCTCTGTACTTCGTAATTTCGGGGAGGGGGAGGGGGAAAAGTGAGAAAAGAAATCGAGAAGGAGGAGGACACGACGGTCGGTCCACCGGCTTGCAACGTATGCATACTCCTTGGTATTTCGAAGGACGGTGAAGAACACTTTGAAGATATATATATATATATTTTTAAGCGGTTGGGCATACGAGAGGGAGAGGGAGGAGAAGGTTGGTCGAACAGTGTGACCGAAAATAGCGTATACGTGGCCATTCGACTCGACCAGCTTTAGGATCCATCTCCTCTTCGTCGTAGGAAAACGTTTTCAAACGGGTTGTTTGAATTCAAAATTTAAGATTCGTTAAGATTCTCCGGTTTTTCGCCCTCGGTCTATCTTTGTTTATTTGTTTATTATTTTTTTATACAAGAAAGGTGACAGGGAGGCGAGATTTAAATTAATAGAGAGATGAGAATATATATATATATATACGTTACTTACCTCCTCCGTTCTGTTGGCACAGGTAAGGGAATCTCCATATATTCCCAAGTCCCACGCTGTAACCGATAATACTGAGGAAAAATTGCATCTTCCCGCTCCATTCCGCCCTGTTCTCCTCTTTGGTCTCTTGACTGCCAGCAGCATTTTGATTCCCGGTTACCACGATTGTCACGTTTTGCCCTGCCTGACGTTCCTCGTTCAATGGAGCCAGCTCATGCCCATTTCTCGTATTCTCGTTCTTGACTACCATGCTTCACTTCGGAGTTCTTTGTTTCCAAGACGAAAAGACGAGTTCGAACGTTCTTCCCTTTTTCTTCTCTCTCTCTC